GCATTTTCACCAGTCCAATAGTATATATTTTTGTGACCACCAATAACTAGATCTATACCATCAACTTCTTTAGCAATTTCCAAGTCCTTTTCAATAGTAGAATGCCCTATTGCTATAATAATGTTCACATTGATATTTTTTAGTTTGTCGACTTCCTCTTGCAAAGCGATAACTTCATCTACGTATTCAATGACACCGGGATTTTCTAACAAACGTGATACTGGTGTCAAATATCCAACTAATCCTATTTTTTTCCCTTTTACATCTAATACAATAGATCGCTTGATGTTTCCATTTATCGGTCCACTATTTATGATAACATTGGTGGCCAATATTGGTGAATTTATATTTTCAAGAAGAGGCGATTGTTTCGTGGACTTTTTGTTAAGATCACCATTACCAAGACACTGAAACAGAAAAGTAAATAGGTAAGTAACATTTTCGTGGAAAATCAATAAATTTAAATGTTAATGCAATATGCAACGGTTATTAATATGTGAAACAGATGTTAGTTTCTTAAATATAAAAAATTTGGTTATTTAGATTTAGTAGGTACATTTTAGTTAGATGTTGTTACTAACTAAAGGAAATAAAAACGTTTAGTGTGACTATAATAAAGTATACAAATGTTCAAAAATAATATTTATACAAGAGAATAAAGAAATCATTTGATTAAATCGGCCTCAACTAATATAATGTTGCATCGATATCCTGTTGCTTAAATGTATTATCTTTTAGTATCTATGGATAAAGGATAAGACATTCATAACTACATAAAAATCCCGTCACCAAAAATTACACGTAAAGCTGACACAAAGGTTATGGTAAAACTAAAGAACAAGTTTATGAAACTTTTCGCAATAAGATAAAATTACAATATTGTATTTTTTAAATATCTATTTAAATAAAAATTCTAAACTCATATTAGGTTCAATTAGTCATAAGCTTAAAGTTCTTGTTAGTTGAAAAAGTAAAGTTAAATAACTTACGTCAGTCAAGCAGCTATGGCTTGATTTTAAGCCTCTTATCGAAATCATATACATCCGCTTTGCCAAAATTACTAAAAACACTGTTGTTTCAGTTAGTAAAATCAATTTAGTTCCTTGTTATTTTCACTTATCTGATACAGTTAAGTATCTTTTGGGTTATATTTGGTAAAGCTTAGTTGAAGCGATTTCTATCTTATTTGCTCGTAGATATTTACTAGCAAACGGACGTTTATATCAGTTCAATGTTTACTAGGTCTGTTATTTTAGAATTAAAAGCAGCGAACTCATAATTGGAATTTCCTTTGTAAGAGCTCAGATCACAGAACAAAATGTTCGTTCTGTAATCTGAGCGTAAGAGGAAAACCATAAAATCCATTAATAAAGCTATTTTTCTCCGAAGACCCAATTGACGCAGCAGCAGTGCTCCTAACTTCTGCCCCAAAGGTCCCGAGTTCGATTCCCGGTAGGGTCATCTTTTTTGTGATGAACACTATTATTTGTTCCTAAGTACCTAATCTACAATATAAAATTCTCGTGTCACAATGTTTGTAACAAAACTCTTCGGAAAAGATTTGCTTGACCAATACTTATGAAATTTTGTGTGTATATTCAGCAGGTTCGAGAATAAGACGTTAATTATATTGTATACCCCTAAATGATACGGGTGGTCCACCCTATATTTTTTTTTGTACAAAAATGTTTCTTTGATTTTTATAGAATCGGCAATAAAACATACGTAAAGCCCTAAATTTTCACCCATCTACTACCAGCCCCTATTTTTAGGGCGGCGGTACAGAGTTCGCTGGGTCAGCTAGTGTTTGTATAAATATATATAAAAGTACCCTAAACGTTATATTATTGTTTCTAGAGTTGAAATATTGCTTTGTTTGGAATTAATTGATAATTGTTGTTTTTTTTTTGGAAGTATGTGTATTAGTACCTAATTTAATAACTGTAATTGATATTTGAGTAGCTGGCGAACAAAACGGTATAATTACGCATCTGGTCAAACTACTTTTTTTTACAGTCCGGAGGTTGCGGGCCCGTTATATTTGAATCTCAAATAATTTTCAATCAAAACCGCCTAAACCAGTGTTAAAATAACTAAATTTATTTATTAAAAACCATGCCAAAAGCTCACTGGAGGTATGTCATTCAGTTTTATACAGCTCCTGTAAAATTTAATTTTATGTAATTATAGCGTTTTGTTCGCCGGCTCCTAATTTGCTTGTGTTTAAACGTTGGATAGTTTGTTAATGACATAAATAAAAATCAAACGAAAACGAAAACAAATAAGTAAATTACAATTGGCTTTAGATTTCAAAAAGTAGTTACATCTCCTATAATAAAAAGTTATATTTCAAAAAGAAATAAGATACCTACGCCGCCGACGACTGCAGTAGATCCTCTCACGGAAATGGGACTTTAAGTACCTACTGTCAGATAAGATAAAATAAAGTAATTCATTCAGTTACACAGGAGACTATAGTTGACTTGAAAATTAATTTTAAGAAGGCCTGTAGGAATATGTTGGCACTTCTTTAAAATGTATTTAGCATTATTTAATACTCAACCATGCATCATATCATATTGTTTTAAGGTTTTACAATACCATAATTAAAAACGTAAAACCACAAAACAAAATTGATTTATCTAGTAGTTAAAATACTCTTAAAAATATGGGTGACCTGAATAGCGTTTTCTGTAAAATTTCCTTTGAAAAAACCGTGATAGAACGGAATGATGTTCTTATTTTTTTTTTTTTAAACAGATGCACAATATTATGATCAATATAAAAAACCTGAACCAACCGAACTGACTGAAGCGAAAACGATCACAATAGTAGCAAAAAATAATGGTGCTTTGTGTAATGTAGGTACATAAAACCAAAATAAGTGACAGTGTGAATACAGTGGTTTAAGTTATGATACTGCTTTGAATGAAATCACGAGTTGACAGTTTATGTAAGCACATCCATAGACGGACACGTTGCTATTTTCAATAAAAATAATCATAGAGGTATAAGAATAGAGTAGAGGAGATATAGACTCTACTACAAGTGGAGCGTTCCTCTAATAGAAAGAGAAAGAAGATGAGAGACCGCTAGCTTTCTCTCTCTAATCGCGCATGGGCATTGGTAACTGTAAGCATCTTACTATTTCGATGTGATACCATTGGAAGCCATGCGTCACAAGAGAGAGAGATCTTCTTTCTCTTTCTACTAGACAGACACTTTAAGAGCCGCCTTCCCCACTCTATTCTTATACCTCTATGTTTTGTACTCTTATCACGAACCAATATCGAATTAATTATTGGAATAGTTGAAAATTAAATGTCAAAAAAGGACTGTATGAAAGATTTTTAATTCTCATTACGTCCGATCTTGATACGCGTCAAATGTTAAGAAGTTTTGTATGGAAAATTTATAATTTATCGTAACGTCCGATGTGGTGCTGTTCAAATATCCATATATTATTTTTGACATGTATCGAGATCGGTTTTAACTGGTATTCGAATTCAATATGGGTTCGTGCTAAGGGTTACAGACTACAGTCGAGGTCAAGACAGTGTATACACTTGCATTAATAATATCGCTCTTTTTACGAAGGTGTTAGGTTTCCATTGGATTCGCCACCGTGGTGGCCTCGACTGTAACAATACATCACCACAAGACAGTACATTAATTATGCACAGCTGACAAATTGCTTTTTTTATTATTATATAAGTATTTATTATTCTTATATGCATTTTAAACTGCTTGATGTTTTTAACAGCCAAAGAAAATGTTACTATTTTCTTATAAATAGGGATAATGACAAACATTCTGCTGCCTGGGCCGCGTGGATTTTTTCTTTCGATTTAAATATCTAGCAGTTAAATGCTTAAAAAATAAAAATAAAAACGTTTTGTTCATAACATTTTATAAATAAAAACTTAATTATCATTAATTTTTGTCAGTATTCTGTTGAGGATCTTAATAGTCGAATGGTTCGTACGCACTCGGTGAGCCAGTCGACTAGTAAGACATTATTCAAATAAAGATCACAAAGAAAATTGGAGAACTGTTAAAAAGTATAACAAAAAGTCTTCATTGTATATACTACAATTCACAACACATTTATACGTGAAAATAACTCCCATATTGTGACGTGGAAACCAATTGAGGTAAGAAGGCACAGAGGCAAAGCTTCGTGCAGTGCGCGTGTGATTGAGCACTGACAGCCTTTTTCTTTATTTTTTTATTTCTGGAAAAGGCGTTACTCCTCCTTGAAGTATCTGAACTCCTTCCCGCCCACTGCACTCAGCCCAGAGGCTCGGTGAAATGAGCAGGACCGTACCCAGTATAAACCAGATAATACTCCTGTACCGGTCACCAGACACGCACTATGAGGACTGGAGTCCCCCAAATTAGTGCCGGGAGTGACGTGGCGCCATACAGGCGACTGGCCACACATCCACAAACTGGAGCATGCCAGCAGCCTGTCGCCGTCAATAGAAACATTTGTTTGCGGCCTCGACAGGTGCCAGTGCTAAACCTACACCCCGGCAAACTTCTTGAGCAACTACCATAGACAAGTTTATTTAAATAAATAAATAATTCCAACACTTACACCAATTAGCCTAGCCCTAAAGTAAGCACGGTAGGCTTGTGTTATGAGATACTAAGATAACGGATAGAATACATATACTAATACAAATATAAGTATATCTATATGGAAAAACATATTAAACATCCTGGAGTACAAATGCTCGTATTCATCACACAAACATCTGTCCCCACCAGAATTCGAACCCGGGACCCCTCGAGTTGGCGACACCTTGAAATCCGGCGTATAAACCACGTGGCCACGGAGGTTGTAAAATTGTTTTCGTCATCGTCGGTCGTCAATTTATTTGTCTGTTTTTGCTCAAAATGTTTGCCGCTGTCTATATGAAGCTTTGTCTCTGTAACTTCTTTTCTCATGTGGTGGAAACATTGCAGTGTGATAACAAGTGGGTAGTAGAACTCACCACAGCGTCCGGTTGTAGAGCGTTCAAGAACTCGGCTGCTATCTTCCACTTGTATATGGTGAACCAGGCTGTGCCGGTGTATGTGTCTCCGGCGTTGAGATACAACACGGGAGGGCCTTCGCCCGATGCTGCGGCCTTCCGAGCCTCTTTAACTCTGAAATCAGCAGAAGGTTGTTGTTTTATGGCATAATCGTAGGTACTACTATGGAAGTGTGGACATTCGGCAACGGATTACCGAAACATCACCCGCACGCACGGGATTATGTATTCTGTGTTTGATCTGTAACTTACGATTTCCTTAATTTTCTTATTTACTGTGCAACTTTGTTAATATTTTTTTCTTAAGAACCTTCTGCATAGTATACTATTGAGTTACGAGACATTGGACCAAATAGAACAATTAAGTAACAGTAAATGAGACACTTCGCTGCTCTGTGTCTCACATAATTGATAATCAACGTTCCAGAACAGCTAATATGACGGATAGCAATATAATATACGAGTATATCTGCTTTGATCTGGCGAAGCATCGCTTTGACAAATTAATAAGCATTATCTATCGACATTTGTAACATCTTATGTGAAAATATAATATAATATATTGTCTTGATATTAGGTATAGGGAGTTTGGCCACAAAATACTATCTATTTTGTTGTATAGCTATATTTAATAGGGTCGACTAACCGGAAACTGAGTAGGTATCTGTGATCTTTTATTTTCGCGAAAGCGAGTTACAATATCCAATAAAGTTTACTTACCTTCCGAATTATTTGTTGATACAAACTTGAGTACCTACCTACCGAATTTCTGTAAACCTAATCATAATCGTCATGAACATATTGCTATCTCTACTGTGGCTGCCGGAAATGCGAAGCGCGGAAGATCTCTAGATTCTTGATAACCATAAACACGATTTCTGAACGCACTAAGCATTCTATCGTCGCAATCCAGCGCCTTCAACATATTAATTAAATAACCAAACCAATGCCCCACGGAATCCTCATGCAAAAGTACTTGATATGATAGCCTTATCTATGGTGGCGCATGCCCCACTCAGTTTTACCACTCTTGTATATTGCTGTTTCTGCATAATGTTCTTGCATTTTTCTAGATAAGCAACTTGAAAATGTATTTACTGGAGGGAGACTACACCAGAGCTTGACAACATCTTTATATAAAAAGCTTGTTTAACTCACACATGTGCCACCCTAGGGAATCCTCCATAGCACTTGCCGGCGTCCCTATCGACGGTGGTGCAAGTCCCGCTGAGCTGTGAGGTCTGTTCGAATCTCGCGTGCATGTCATTGTTGTGCAGGATCAGTAACTCGAAGGTGTCCTTGCTGGTAGGAGACTGCACCAGAGAGCTGGATGACAGCGCCACCACGACCAGGAAAGCCGCTATCCTAAGGGTGTTCTGTAAAATGAAGAACGCTTTACGTTTATAAACTATAGTGGTTAGGCAAAGGATTTAAATTGATCCCACGACCAAGAAGACTCTATGCGAAGTGTGCTGAACACCTTTTGGATAGCTAGAAATGAAATAATTCTTCACGTTCCGATCATAGAGAAACATGGCACGTTCTAGCTATTCCGTTCATAGGGTAGGCCTATGATGTATGATGATGAATGAGTCTATGACAGTACTTAAGATTTGGGTAGAGTAATAGAGTTTTAATAATAGGAGTATTCATTAATTTTATTATACCTATATCAAAGTTATCATAATCTTCAATTACAACTTTTATTAGGTATGTACCTAATTGCGCCTACCGCGTTCGCTTTCATTTCATAGTAGGGGAATAAATAAGTTATGTTACATTGTCACTTTTTAGATAATTATCCCCCAGGTAATAATTTTAAGCTGATAAACATACTTTTAGTTAAATTCATTTCAGGAATATAGCAGTCCGCAAAAAATGCGGTTGCTGAATCGTTCAGTTTTAAAACCAATAAAGATAAAATATTATCAAGACGTATTTTGAGATAAAGCGTTAATGAGGTTATTATTGTATTAAAGATTATACAGTGCGATCAAAGTGGGTAATCTACCTTTAATTTTTAATCATCACGGCTATTATTCACGGTGTTTGCTAAGCAACAATTCAGTTTGCGTTTAGTTTCAAAGTTTTATTTAAAATCGAGTTAGTTATTTTATCACTTTGCGGTTTTGGAAGGCTCTTTCTTTATTCACAACATTTTTGATTTCACTCTGGATTAAGTGTTGTGCCTTCACTCATCTTGACCTAAAACAACTATTTAACTTAATAGAAGGAGACGTCATTAAAAATAATCGGATTTATTTAATTTACACACGCGTTCACATTCATGTAAATATTATGCTTTGCTCATAGGTTAAATAAATAACTTCGTTTTACATGTAACTATATCATTATTTTTAGAGTTTAATAAAAACGTTTACTTAATACAAATATACATTTTCTAAGAGTCATTCTCTGGCGTCTAAGATTGTAAAATCAATTGACATTGTAAAGTTATTTCATTTGTGCAAAAACAGGTAAACGTGAGAATTTATACAATAATACTGTGACAAAAAGGCCCTTCATCTAGCTATATAGCTACTATTGAAACGACTTCACGGAACAAACAAAAGACAGGCGCCAGTATAGACACCTCAAAAATGCCATACAAAAACTATATGGTTTGCTTGTAGTTGAATAGACGCTGCGCATGAATGGAAGCGGTCTTTAAGCATCAGTTAAAAATATTGGCACCTTTCGGAGAATCGCTATCGATGCGGGGAGACGCAAAGGACCCGCCTTTACGTCTGTCATCCATAATTAAAAAAAATGCAGATATGCCGGGAGGGAACACCCAGTGCAAGTAGTTAAGTAGTATACGATAAATACTTAGGTATGTTTGTTTTTAGCAAATTTTACACCGTAATTTACTTTAAATTTCACAATATCCAACAATGCCACCGCATTATTTGTTTTCACATTTTTTCCGTACTGGTGTTTGTGTTAAAATGTGACCCACTAGGCGTCCAGTTTCCTATTGAAATTAAATTTTGCATGCAAAGGTACTTATTATAATTGTTTGCAAATTCAATATTAGTATAACGTGGAGCTGATCTTACTCTATCATCTGGCATTTGGCAAAATATGAAATTGTCTATAAAGAGCACTGGACTCCGAAGCTTATTATTACAATTTTCATGATCAGGGAATTTACTTTACGTCCTCCTTGAAAAAAAAACAGATATCTCGTGCTCGTGATATGTACCTTTGTGTGAGTCTCATGTTAGTAGGTGTGCAAATCTTTTAATTAGAACGTGTGTTTCAATTAACTTACATAAAAAGTAACAGGTCTAACAACTTGAGTGGCGTTTAGATTTGCCCTTCTCAGTTTATTTAAAGTAACAATTCATACTTTTCTACACAGTAAATAAGACAGTCAAGGCAAAAAAATAAACAAAACTAAAATTTGTAAAGTTACGCACTAAAACGTAAAACTAAATGAGTTAAAGGAAAGAATGTGTTACGGTTTCACGTAGTAGAAGGGAATACGCCGAGTTAGCAGTCATTCACAAAACAGTGGCGCGGCGCTAAACGCTGATTCAGCGAAAGATCGCACATCGGTCGCTGAAATTGACGCAACTGGCGTAAACTGCTGACTGCGTGCCTCATGCCTCCACCGCAGCAGGCTACATGGCCGGACGAAGAGCGTCACTTTGATTCTAACTTTGATCGGGTTGGGACTTAAAATACTTAGAATTAAATTTAATTGTAATTTTCCTTGTATTGTAAATCAAAGTAAGTTTTCAATAAAATAAAATTGTTTTTTTGAGACCTCCAGCTGTGATTAACGTAATTGACGCAGCCGGTAGGTTTCTCGGGTCGTCGCGTAGCCTATTGGGAATCACAGAATCGGGTCCGCGCCGCGCTACGATAGTATTTAAGCCCTTACCGGGATCCTGCATAACGAACGGGAGGGGCGCCGGAGTATACGAAAATTTATAGCAGCCCAAGATAGACCGAGACAATATGTTTATGTGAGTACACCACTGATTTTTCTCTAGTATTGAGCTCTCCCTTTAGTCCTAAAATTTCTATATTTCCTTTGGTTATAATAATTTTTCAAGATTTTTCACCCAAGGAGTAATAGGGGCCCCTGAGGCTTTACGGCTACTAATATTACCCGAACCATATCTATAGAAATGTTAATTGCATATACATTCATCATAATGTGTAATTAAAATAACATATAGTTATTACTCTATCATCAGATTATAAGATTAAAAGAACATATAGTTATTACTCTATCACTCAGACAATGCTCATGTTAAAAATATTGATTATATTTTTTTAATTTGAATGTTAAGAGATTGCGATTATAAAATGAACAAAGGCACATCAATACTTTGATAATATAATGGCATTGAATATTTTGATAGGTATGTATAGATATTATTGAAAGTAAATTATGCTAAATATTACTTTTGCTACGTTTTTTGTCTTTACCTCCTTTACAATTTTACTATATTTTCATTGTAATTGTAGGATAAACATTGTCATTTCTTCCCTCTCTTCAGGGCTCAACACTGGCACTACAGACCAATATCACCATGCTCGGTATGGAAGTTCGCTCAGACCAGAATCCAAAGAACTACATTGAAACCGTGATCAAAACAGCTTCACGCAAACTCGGAGTCCTGAACAAGGTGCGGCGTTTTTTCACGCCTGATCAACTGTGCTTGTTGTATAAAACGCAAGTGCGGTTCTGCGTGGAATATTGATCGCACCTCTGGGATAGCTCCACTAAGTACTTACTCGATGCCTTGGATAGGTTGCAGCGTCGCGCTGCCTGTATCATGGGCGATGAAGAGGTAGCCAACAAACTCGAGTCTCTACAATTACGCAGCGATGTGGCATCATTAAGCGCATTCTATCGACTATACCACGGCGAGTGTTCTGAGGAGTTATTCTCCCTTATCCCTTCATCACCTTTTCTTCAGAGGACCACGCGCGCTGGCCTACGTTGCCACCGTCTTACTGTGGCCACTATTCCTACACGAACAAAGAAATTTGGTGACTCATTTCTTTGTCTTACTATTCGTAAGTGGAATTCTTTGCCTGCGCACGTGTTCCATCCTGCCCTTAATCTGGGGTCCTTTAAAAGAGGCGTGAAGAAGCAATTTTGCAGGCCGGCAAGGTGAGGCTGGTTGGTGTGGCAGTTTATAACTGCTGTACCAGCTATCTTCGCGTTTGGACTTCATCACCACTTAACATCAGGTGGGGTAGAGTGATTTGCCTACCTATATATAAAAAAAGAACAAACATTATATTCTATGGAAATTTCTGGGTACCTTTTTCCGTTCAAGATATAGATCCGTGTGACAAGAAAAAAGACAGACAGTAGAGGCATGTGAATTGATATAGGGTTCCGTTTGTAGCCTTTGGGTGTTAAAAGGTTATACTGAATCACATCACGGAGCACAATAAAGATCCGGAAACTTCGATCTATTAAAGTTATGTTAGAGTGAATAAAGTTAATACATAAATTAAGTAATATATTATATATATATATATTGTACGTCATTGTTCGGAAAGTCGAGAATAAGTAAGTAAGTAAAAATAAGTCAACATATAAGTGGTGTCGCCACTCAACAGATACAAATAAAATAAGAATTAAATAAAACCATGGGTAAACAAAGTAGCACAGTGGATATTTTTGCTGTATATTTCATTGCTACTGTGCATGTGCATGTGATGTTTGCCGAAAAGTGTATAGGCAACCACTTGATTGGTGACTGCCTATAACGAAATGTTGATCCATCGATCGATTTATGCCATGAAAGTATGTTAATGATCGATCGAGACTGGTTCCCAGACTCGGTCACATTTCGTTGGTAAAAAAAAAATTACACAATTTGGAACAAATTTTAACTTTCTTTAGTTATCTTGATACGTCAAACCTAAAGTATCATTCATTTTAAAATGATTTACTTTAACATTAACAATTTTTAATTACTTACCAACAATATGTCCTATTCCATTTTAAGATCTGAAAAAATTTAACATGTTATTTTAATCATCAATCACAATCTCGAATTGTGTGAGAAGTCTCGAAAAGTATGAAACATGCAAACTAGCTAGCTATTTTAGACCCTTTTTCGCAATAAATGTACCTACTTGTAGTAATTGCTTAATCAGTTCGCATTAACTGAGCATCCGCAGTTCCGTCCCTATCACTAGCTGCTCCACTGCTGTAGGAAGTGAGTAGCAACTACATAAATATGTTCTCAGAACTAGGGTTGTCAACAATATGAACAGTAAGCATATCATAGGTTAGGGTAATAGGGTAATAAGGACGAGTATTCTGTTCGTCATATACCTAGTCTCGTAAAGCGTTTTTCTTGATGATTTAAATTTTTGCTATTTCCAATGTAATTTC